GCTCCATTCTAGGTGTACAGTCTCCATTTGTCCACCAGAGGGAGGTATGTTACTGATGGGAACAGAGATCTGAATGATTGATTGCCCTAAACGTTTTTGTTTTGTTGTTTTGTTTTGTCTTTCAACTAATTAATATAGGATTTTTTTTTTCTTTTTTGAGACAGAGTCTCACTAAGCAGCCCTGGTTGGACTGGAGCTAGCTTATTTAGACTGGGCTGGCCTCCAACTCATAGAAATTCGTCTGCCTTTGCCTACCAAGCCCTGGGTTTAAAGGCATGTGCTACCACATCTGGCTCTATTTAGGATTTTTGAGGCAAGATCCCCATTCTGAATGCCAGGCTGATCTCTAACTCATAACAATCCCCCTGTCTAAGTATTATCACTATTATTTTATTTTGTTTTTGAGGCAGGGTTTCATATTGCTCAAGCTGGTCCCAAATTCGTTATGTAGCTGAGGCTAGACTTGAACTCCTGACCCTCTTACCTCTATCTTCTAAGTGTTAGGATTATAAGCACAAGCCGTGACTAGCATGTCATTATCTTTTTAAAATTAGAGTACTCTAATGTTACAATTCAAGTGTGACTATGGAAAATAATTGCTCCATAAAAATGTATTTGTTTTATGACATCTGAGTTGGCCCAGTTATACTTACTTAGTGAATGAGTGTGCTGTGTGGTATGAGTGTGTGGTATATATATATGGGGTACATTCAAGTGCGCGGGTAAGTATGTGCACCCACATATCTTACATGGAGTGCAGGAGGTTGGGTGTAACATGAGGGCCGGCTTGTTGGGGTATCTGTTCCCGCCCGGTACCCCACAACCGGCAAATCCCAGATAAAATCAACCACACAGAGATCTCTATAAGTTATAAAGCGGATTGGCCCATTAGGTCAGGCTACTTATTAGCTCTTATAACATATATTACCCCATTATCCTTATCTATGTTAGCCACATGGCTCAGTACCTTTTTTAGCCGGGCAGGTTACATGCTGTCTCTTCGGTGGTCTGCACAGAACTGCGGAGGGAGCTTCCTGCTTTCCAGAATACTCCCAGTCTCTTTTCTCCACCTCTACTTCCTGTCTGGCTTTCCTGCCTATACTGCCTGCCTGGCCAATCAGCGTTTTATTAAAATATGATTGACAGAATACAGATAATTCTCCCACACCAGTTGGGGATCTTCCTCTGTTTTCTACACCTTATGGCCTGGAGACGGGGTCTCTCACAGAACCAGTTGACTGGCCTGCCAGCTCTTGAGACTCACCGTGTATTTCCCAGTGCTGGGGCTATAGGTACAATCAGCTGTGGCTTTTCATGTCGGTGCTGGGGACTCGAACTCAGGTTCCTAAGCTAGCAGAGCCAGTACTCTTATCCAATGAGCCATTTTCCAGAACCAGTTATTTTGAAAATATAGTAAAAAATGTGTTTTGTTTGTGGATAAAATTGTTTGTTTAGACTTAACTTGTAGTTACAAATGTTTTATTAGGGAGCTGGAGAGACATCTCAGCAGGGAGGGCACTTGCTATTCAATTATGAAGACCTGAGTTCAGATCCCAGCACCTATTTATCAAGCTGGGGTCCAGCAGACAGCTATAGCGCCAGGGCCCAGGGAACTGGTGCCTTCTTCTGGTCTTGGTGTGTATTTGTGCACACTTGTGTGCAGATACTCATGCAGATAAGTAAATAAATCTTTAAAATATTTTTTAGAGTACTTATTTAGGAAATTTAACCTGTCCAACTTTTTTAATGAGCTGGTAGCATAGGTTTATTCTAAAGGAGTTTTGGTTGGTGGAGATGCTTTGGCGGGAGTAGGACCTGCTTAGCTTTAATTTTAATAAGCAAAAACGTTTCAAATTATAGGAAGATGGGAGTTTTGTGGTCTAATTTTTGACTGATGTAGTTAAACTAATTAGGATGTTAATGATTATTCTTACTTTTAGCAGTCACTTAACTGGAGGATGCATTGTAGTGTATTCACCAGAGAAGTCTGCTCAGACATGGGTTTAAGCCAATAGAAAGTCTTTAGTAGCCAGCCTGCCGTTGACTACACTGGGCATTGGGAATCCCAGAGTAGCGTCAAGACTTTCTCAGGATGAGCTTTAAAGCACAAAAACCATGTTCTGGGTTGATACACTTCAGTTAAGAAGAACAGTTAGCCAGAAACAGAACTACAGATGCAGAAAAGCAAGGTCCATCTAGAGGCTGTCCCAGAACTATGGACTTGGGTGGATCAGGCCAGATTTAGTTTTGTCATATTGGGTGCTGTCTACATGCTGAGGTTTATAGCCTGATTGGACCTTCCATCCTGGAGTCAGTTGTGCTAAGGTCCGGGGCCCTGTTACAGTTTCTCACTCATTAGATAAGTGTGCACTTTAATTATTTAAAGAATTAAATGTTTGCTGCTTCCTGTAAAAGTCTCCAAAGGAAGTGTTACCCTCACAAGAAAAAAACATCAGAAAAACATAAGCACAACAGTTATAATAAGAAAGTAGTATTCAATATTCTTTCAGTTTTCTGGAACCTCCTACCATGGAGGCTTATTTGCTTGCTTATTTATTTGTTTGTTTATTTATTTATTTATTTATTTTTGAGACAGGGTCTCTTTTGCCTAAGTAAAATCACCTACATAAAATTTGAACTTCTGACCCATTTGTCCCCACTTCCTGAATACTGGAACTACAGGAGAATGTTTGTGACCACACCTGGTTTATACAGTACAGGACTTTGTGCATAAAATCAGGAACATCCCCAGCCCTGAGACTGAATTCTTGCTGAAGTTCAAGCATATGTATATGACGGCTCATTACTGATACCTGGCAGGATGAAGCAGAAGAAAAAACATGGACTTGAAGCAAGCCTGATATTTCGACGGCTTGAGCTATAGAGAACCTGTCTCAAAAAACAAAAAATAAAAAAAAGAATGAAAGAAGATACACACACACACACACACACACACACACAGAGAGAGAGAGAGAGAGAGAGAGACAGAGAGAGAGAGAGAGAGAGAGAACGAGAACAAAAAGAACAAAGAACATAGCCAAAATCTGGACGGTGGTCAGAAGGATCAGTATTTCACACTCATTTTTGACCAGGTTGAGTATCTCAGGCAAAACAAAACAAAGTATAGTCCCTCCAAGTGTAACACTATTTGTCCCTGAAATTCTATCTCACTTTTAAAGTTCCTTTGAGAAGCCAGTGTGTTGGTACAATATACAGCGATACTGAAAAGCAAAGCTGCTAACTGTCATTTACTAGGAACATAACATTTAAACATTGCAGGAGGACCCCAGAGAGAGCCAAGCCGATGGTTAGGTAGGTAATCTTTCCTGATTTATTGGCTTGTTTGTATTTGAGACAGTCTCCTTCAGTAGCTTAGGTTGGCCTCAGACTCTTGGATCCTCTAAGATTATAGGTGCATGTCATCATGTCTGGCTCCTACCTTATTTTGATATTAATTTCTCTTTTATTCTTTAGGCAGAGTTCTATTTAGAAACTTTGGGCAATTTCAATTATCAATGAAAAGAGGTTCCATGTTGACAAATTACCAAGAAAATCTCATTACTTAAAAACAAGTTTTTGGGGCCTGCTGAGATGGCTCAGTGGTGAAGAGCACTACTGCTCCTCCAGAGGACCTGGGTTCAATTTCCAGCACCCACATGGCAGCTCTCAGCAGTCTGTAGCTCCAGGTCAAGAGAATCTGACATATACCAATGCACATGAAATAAAGTTAAATAAAGTTTTTTTAAAAAAAAACAAACAAAAAGTCACTAGAAGAAGAAAATGGAGCTCTGGAGAGATGGGCTAGTGATTAAGAGTTAGTGTTGCTCTTGCAGAGGGCTCAATTTGGCACCTACACCAGACAGCTCACAGTTACCTGTAAGTCCAGTTCCAGGGGATCTGTTGCCCTCTTCTGGCCTCCCAGGGCCAGTACATACATACAGGCACATACATACACATAAAAGAAACCTTTTAAAAAAGTTTTTGTTTTATTGAGACAAAGTGTTATATAGTTCAGGCTGACCTGGGGTTGCCTAGGAAGCCAAGGATGACCTTGAACCCCTTTGCTGCCTGAACCTCCCAAGAACTGAGAGTACAAGCCAGTACTACTCTTCCCTCCCTTTCTTCCTCCCTCCCTCCCTCTTCTTCTCTCTCCCTTCCATTTTTTCTTCCCTCCCCCTCTTTTTTTTTTTTTTTTTTAGCCCAGGCTGATCTTGAGCTAACTATATAGTCTAGGCTGCCCCAGAACTCCTGGCAATCATGTCAGTCTTCCTAGTATTACAGATGTGAGCCACTTAGACCAGTTTATTTTTTCAATATATGATCCTAATTTATTCCAATAGAAAATGAGAAGTGGGCAAGTGTTCATATGTTACACTTACGTAACACTGCTTCTCTTTAGAATGATTTAATAATTTTCATATTTTTGATGAAAAATTTCAACCACTCAGGAATCTTTATGGATCTGGAACAAATGTCATATTGAAAATACTTTAAGTAAAACTGTAATATTGTATGTGTATGCATGTTTTTCCCCATGCACTTTCACTTTTTAACACATTAACTTATGTTAATAAAACTAGATGTAAAACCAGGACATGAATTCTAGTTCTTCTGGTACTTTATGTTTAGTACTCCCTTATAGAAAATAAGGTTAATTACGGCTGCTTTTTCACTCTTCAAGTGTTTAGGGAAAAATTAATTAAGCAGCTAAGTTTTGTTAGTGGTCACAACAATAATAAACTACGATTCCCAAAATGCCTAGAGAAAGAGGTTGCTGCTGGTGGGGGTTCGCGGGGGAGACAGTTGCGGCTTCAGGGTAAAAGTACAAGTGCTGGGACCAGCAGCAGAGAAGGGTACTTGTCCTTGACTGATTTCTAATGCACCCAGGGATATGTAGTTCCCAGAGGGCCACAACGTGCCCTTAGGCCAGGTTTCTTACTACAAGTCCCGTGATGACGCGGGGCCTCAGCAGCGCCTGCGTGCTGAAGCTAAAGGAGCGAGTGGGCGGTGCTAGTAGCTGGAGGAGTAAAGATGGCGGCGCGGGGGCCTCCGCCTTCATTTCCAGGCTGAAGCCCTCCGAGGGAGGCGGTGGCGGTCACACAAGGCTACCAGCATTCTGGTGGTGGTAGTTTTGTCAGCAGCTGCCGAGACTCGAGCCATGGCGGAGCTGGAGCACCTGGGAGGGAAGCGGGCAGAGTCGGCGCGAGCGCGGCGGGCTGAGCAGCTGCGGCGCTGGAGGGGCTCGCTGACAGAGCAGGAGTCCGCGGAGCGACAGGGCTCGGGGCGGCAACTGCAGACAAGACGCGGGAGCCCCAGGGTCCGCTTCGAGGATGGTGCAGTCTTTCTGGCTGCCTGCTCCAGCGGGGACACGGACGAGGTGAAAAAGCTTCTGGCAAGAGGTGCGGACATCAACACTGTCAACGTGGACGGTTTGACAGCCTTGCACCAGGTAGGACTCCCCCTTCGGTCTGGTGGGTCTTTTGCTTGCAAGCCTGTGACCCTTCGACTGCCCCACCTGAAGTATTTTAGGGTCACCGTAGAGCCTTCTTGCAAAGACCATGCCACTTCAGTCAACTCATGTACATGCTTGGACACTTCCTTCCACGCCACAAATCTTTTTCGGACCTCAGGGTTAGGGTCTTTACCCAAAGGACTGGTGTCACCCAGGTGACTGGTCGGTGTTTGTATTTCCCTCCACCTACTTGGGTTGTCATGGTGACTGATGATTTGGTCCTTGGTGTTATCTCTATAGATTAGTCCTCTTTACTTCTGTCTTGCGCCTGTGCATCACCCTGTGCATCACGTCGCTCATGCTTACACTTAGTGTCATTAGCCTGATCACCTTTTCAGAAGCTCAGCTTTCAATTTGTGTGGCTCAGTTATCAAAACGTCTTAGGACAGTTGAAGGGAAATCTCAGGAGTGGGTTAAGACGGGCGGCTCCTCTGAAACGACACTTGTTTTGCTGATGTGTGGTTTGTGCCTTCTCCAGGCCACCCTTAGAACACCCTTGACCTCATTGTTATGGGTGTCTCAATTTCTTTGCAGCAGTGCTACTTCTGGCAGGGACAGAATTATTTCTGTCTGGAACTTATGAGATAGACTTTCAGTTTTATTTCTGAAGCCCTCTATAGGAATGATTATCTTAAACAATACACACACACACACACACACACACACACACATGCATACATACATATATGGATTTCAGGTAATCTGAGAGTTTGATAATAACGCCTTGATTTCTCTCACTTATGCAACAATATTCTCTGTATACTGACTGTCATAACTCAACCCTCTCTCCCCAGTTGAACTTAATCAGTTATTTTGGTGAGCTGAGAGCTGGGTACCCACTTCTCCTTCCTTCTTTCTTTCTTCCTTTTTCCCTCCTCTTTGAACACAAAATCTCATGTAGTTCAGGTTGATTTAGAACTCTCCATGTAGGTGATGATGGCCTTCAACTTCTGATTCTTCTGTCCCTATATTCCCAGTGCTAGAACTGCCCTAGCACTTTGCGGTACTGAGGATCAAGCCTAGGCCTTTTCATGCTAAAGAAGAACTCTACCAATAGAGCTTCATCCCCAGCTCTTCTTTCTTTTCTCTTTCTTTCTGTACAAAGTGAATGTATTCACATAAGAATTCATTTTTAAATAATAATTCAAGTTTCCATTAAGCCTCTCCTTAAATGTATTTAGCTAATAGCTTAAAATTGTTCTTATTGCTCTTTCATGTGGAAAGAAATTCTCCTCTCCATCCTGTTTTTCCCAGCACCCCACCTAAAGTATTATATATAACAACCAGTGTTTATATAGTACTCTGCTCTTTAAAATGATTTCATGTGGCTTCCCTCATTAAGTCTTGGTAGTGTTCTTCTGCAATGGGTATAGTTGGTAATAATGTGACTCTCACTCTACAGAGGAAACGGAAACCAAGAGAAGTTGTGTGTGTGAAAAGTTAGGAAAAAAAGCAGTTGTCTCTGAAGTGTGTGTGTGTGTGTGAGTGTGTGTGTGAAAAGCTAAGAAGGAGAGCAGTTGTCTGTGAGTATTGATTTTTCAGATTTGAATCACAAGCCCCCATAGCCCACCAAATAAGGAACTAGATATAAACTGTGGTAGAAACTAAGAGAACTACATTCAACTTTAAATAAGATTTTAAACTTTTGAACATTCAACTTTAAATAAGATTCTAAACTTTTGAACTCTTTGGAAGGATGAATTCTCCATACTTGTGAAGGGCAGAGGTCAGCTGGATGTCTTCTTCAATCATTCTCCACCTTTATATTAAATACTATTATTATTTTTAGTATAACTCTGTAATTTTGTTGATTGTTTTTATTTTTGGTTAGTGTGTGTGTGTGTGTGTGTGTGTGTGTGTGTTTGTGTGTATATGTATGAGTACAGGTATGTGTGTGTGCCATCCTGTGTGTGTGAAGTTGAAAGGACAGCGTAAGTTTTCTCCTTCTGTTGTGAGTTCAGGGTTCAGGAGATGGAGCTCAGTTGGCAGTCTTGCTCAACAAGGATGCTTACCAGCTGAACCTTGTTTCTTTTAAAGTGACTCTACTAGCTAAGTTTAGTCCTTACCATACATTTGAATATTACTCAGGGAAGTCACTCATGATAGACCCTCCCCTTTCAGTTCTGTCTGTCACTCATG